GAAGGTGAAGTGGGGGGGGGGTGGTTTCATGATTAAGTGAGGGGACGCTATTTTGATTTGATTTATTTGGTTCCACAAATAACATTACATAAAACAACCGCACGTTAAATATACAAAATACAAGTTAATAGGAATTAATTGAAGCAGGAAAAACCAAAGAAAAGCTTTTTTCTTGTGGGGGTATGGGTGGTGCGCAAACTTAGATATGTGTCTTTATTTTTTTAAATAAGGTGATATTACTTTAATTACTTCAGCTTGATTTTTTTTTTTTTTTTGCTTCAAACAATGGTCGTCGACTGTGGGGTGGGGTTCAAGCTTTTTTCTTGTGGGGGTATGGGTGGTGCGCAAACTTAGATATGTGTCTTTATTTTTTTTTTTTAATTGCCAATTCAATGGTTTTCTGTTTGAATAAATTTAAACTTCTTTTCTTTCTGCAGAATAATGATCTTGATAAAAATGACAAAACATTGGTTGAAATCGGAAAATTTCTTGGCCTTATCTGTTCAAGGATTGATCTTTTGGCGGACGGTGAGGTCCAACTTTTAGTTTTCAAATACTGAAAAATTGGGAAAAAAATGAGTCTGTTTGGTTTTACCTTTGTAGTTTATATTGTTTATCATCACTATTCATCATTACTCAATATTATACATTTATATTAATTTAGTTACATATTTGTTTCTTATTTTTGTAGTAATTCTCACAACATTTCATAAGATACTAACATCGAGATTGCTATTCATTAGAGTATTCAATAATCAATAGATTAATTTGCAGATGTTTGTCACATACTGAGTGTACTTGTATGTAACCAAGACTATTTTTTTGTCTCTAGAGTCCTTATGCGAAATGGTTGTGAAGTGTCTTATTAGCCTAAGTACCTTGAATTCTGCAACGCATCTCCAAGTGAGGGTCTCTAATTGGGCGAAGGTAAGATGTTTGCCGTTCTGTACTAATTAAGGGTCCCGAGTCTAACTCCCACAAGCAAGCAAGAAAAACTTCCCTGGAAAAATAACTCCTGGTTCGCAAATTCAAAACATTTGCACGTATTTACTATTTTACTATCAGTTGTCTCACAGAAAATTTGTGCCGGTGTGGATCACCAGACAGCAACATTAAGTTTAAATGCGTTGAGTAAGCTCATTTCGCTCATTAGGAGTGGTTTGGCGCGGCGATTGCGGTTCTGCTTGTCAACCTTGAGTTCCGAGGTTCAATCCCTTGCTGTGCATTTCGTTTGTGTCCTTAGCAAGGCACTTTGCCTACGGTTGTCTCTCTCCACCCAGGAGTACAAGTTGGTACCTGGTAGGTCCAGACACAAAAAATGTGCTGATTACAGTTGCAAAATTATGGAATTCTCCCGAGGGATCTAAGTATGTGTTCCATATTATGTGCTTGATCCAATGACCGGGGATAATAATGCTAAGCGCATAGAGGTCTCTACAATATGCGCCATGTAATCAACAATAATTATTCTTTAAACTGGTCTCTCGTAAGTGACTTCAAGCATCATCTCCTCAATCTTGGGACCCCTTCTATAGAATCTCAGTTCCTAATGTGTTTAGGGAAATGCTCTCATTGGCTATTGCTCAGGCCTTACAAAATTAATGAACGAAAAATGAAATAAAATAAAAAATTATTGATTATATAATGATTAGTTTTTACCTACCATTTTTGAATGAGAAGGCTACTCGCTTAAATATAGTTGAATGAATGAATTATTATTTTTATTATTATTATTATTACCAGCATATATATAGTAAAATTTTTAACAATTTTATTTAATACGGTTATTTCCTGTCCTATTTAACATGGAGTACCGTATATTCTTGTGTATAAGGCAACCCAAGTATAAGACAACCCCAAAGTTTGAGGAGGATTTTGGACGATATTTTTTTAGCCAGGAGTAAGATGATGACCTGTTTCGCCTTCGGAATTTTTTACTTTTTGCTGCTCTATCTGATCTTATACTGCATCCAGCTGGTTACAGACTAAACAAAATGTAGGTCTAATGTTCAAAATGGGCTTTTAAATGTTTTAAATCAAAATCTTATTTCCCAGTATTTAAAATTGCGTTCATTCATTTAGTAGGTTCATTGCAGTTAGTAAATTTGCATGTTACAGATGACTCGCATATAAAATGAAAATGATTTCAAAAATCTAATATTTGTATGTCGCGCGTATAAGACTACCCGTTGTTTTTCAATCGTAATTTGCCATTTTAATCCTCGTCTTATACACGAGTATATACAAACAATTTATTCTGAATTATTTTGTTTCTTTTATCCTGATAGTCTCGTCTAAGACATCTGCTCTGTGATGAATCCGAGAGTGGGACAAGTTACGTCGTCAAAGTTTGTGGATTTGATGCTACAATGTGCAATAATATGAGATCTGAAATGGTAGGTTTGTTTTTATCTAATTATTTATTTGTTTTTTAAACTGAGATACTGGTTCAGTAGCAAAATACTACTCCTCTCCCAAAAAATACTCGCGCCCCTCATTTAGTTTCCCCCTCCCCCATTGAAAGTGTTGAAAGCAAAAAAAAAAAAATTATGTAAAGTAAATCACCTTATTTTGTGAGCAAGCGCACCTCTTACGTATTCACCTTCGTGCCTTCATAGTTATAAATTTATCACACAAATAATCTAATTGGATGATGTCCATACCAATTACCTTACTAGCTAACTTTAAAAAAATCCTAATTAGTGTTTTGAGATTTTCTTTGGATAATTCTCCACTGATCATCACAAGCTTTATATTAAGAAATTGGCCATACCTTTTTTATAGTAATGTTGTATCCGGATTAGGGTTTTCTTTGAGTTAAATAATGCATTGTGAATTTCTCTTTCGCAGACCACATCTTACTTAAGAGAAGGACTAAACAACTTGGAAAACGACAAGGAATTTTGTCAACTCCTCCTGTCCTTAGATATTGGGAAGTTGCTGTATATTCCACAAGCCAGCAATATAGTCAAGACAGTGCTACATCACAGATGCATAACTAATGACACAAAACACCTGATTGCTGTGGCCAACAATGAATCATCACATGATCAAGGTATTGTTAATGTTATTAGGGTGGTGTAAGGTACAGATAAACGGGTAAAGTAGTTGTTTTTGGATGTCTAGCTGTAGAAATGACTCACCCCACATGGGGAATGTTGGGTGGGGGAATGTGGGGTGGAATACTCGACAAGTGAGGGGGAAATAGATCACAATCTAAGGTGATATAAGATCCTTTTCCTTTAGACTTTTTCAGTTCGGGGAAAACTATTCCAGCTGCCTTGATGTATTTTTGCTAAAAATGTTTACAAAAGTTGGATAAGTTGGCGAATCAGATTTTTTTCGTATATTTCGTATATTTTATATATATATATATATCTGTCATACATCATGTAGCATAGCTCTCAACGAATGTAGTCCTGTAAATAAATGAAATATTAATATTATATATATATTTGTATTGTTTTTGTATTGGTTTTACTGTTGTTCTTTTGCATGAAATTCCGAAATAAATGACGAATGAATGGAATAACTTTTATTGTGTCGATTTCAGACGGATATGTACTAGATTGTATTCTTGCCAGAATGTGGTTGGAGGACTTGCAAATGTTTGAAACTGCCATTGTTGATCTGATAGACTCGCTTTTACAAGTGCCTAATTTGTCTTGCAGTCAACGTCAACAGCTTATTAAAAATTCAAAAATAGTAAGTGATGACTTCAGATTTTAGAAGAAGACAATAATAAAATGGTATTTGTTACTGAGAGCCGGTTTGGTGCAGTAATTGGTTTGGTTTCCCAACCTTGATGGTCAGGGTTTAAATCCTTCGATGAGCATTATGTCTTTGAGCCAGGCTCTTTAATTTCATTGCTTCAGTCTACCCAGCTGTATCAATGGGTACCAGCAAATTGCAGCTGTGGACCAGCATCCCACTAGTGGCGGCGCCAGCAGGGGGACAGGGGGGCTTGATTCACCCCCTGGAGAGGTCAATCCCCCCTGCCGGACAGAGATTGTCAGGCAGTCAGACCATAAAATAGGCTCGCACCAAGCCAACACATGTCTGTCACAGTCTGAAAGGGCCATTTCCGGCCATCCAGAGGTTGCTATTCTTAAAAAAATCTCATTTGGGAGGGGGAACCCCCACTCATCCCCTTCCCCCAGCTCGAGCCTACGAGCTCAAGTCCCCCTGTCGGACAACTTAGCCCCCCTAGAAAATATATCCTAGAGCCGCTACTGCGTCCCACCCTGGGAAAGTATCGCACTCATCCGCTTCACGCTACCTGAAATTGGGTATAAGCTGCAGCCCAATGAGCCCTGTGGCTAGGCAAGGATTTTCTTTGCTCTTTTGATTTATTGGAAATTGTTCAATAAATTCATAATAATTGAAAAACGAATAATATAGGTCTTGCTCTTGTGGTGGTTTTTAAGTCCCTATCTGAGAAGATTTGGTTATACTAAACGAACCCCGGGCAAGTAGCGGCTGGAAACCAGCGCCAATGTTCAGGCTGTAGTTAGCGGCGCCCTCTTTACTGCTCGGTCACTTAATTCTCTTCATCAAATGTAATATTCCAAGAAGCTAATGTATTAAATAACATCAGTAATTTTTTTTTGTTTCTAAGTCATACTTTTTCGTTTCTGTATTCGCAGACCAAAGCATGCACTGCCCATCCAGCACTGAAAAAAGCTGCAGAAAACATATTAGATTATTTCAAAGGCCAGAGTAAAGGCTGCCCTCTAGTGGTGACTGCTGTCAATGATTTCAACCACAGTATTAGAGAGATGGAATATGGCGTGCAGTTATTATCGAAGACGGACATTACTTGACGCAAATTAAAATTTTTAGTAAAAGCTATTCAGTGATAATGATACTGTAGTTTGAGTTATTAGAAATTTTAGGGAAAAAAATGTGTGAAGAAGTGATACGCAATTACTGTAGCTGAGTTTTCATCTTTTCAGAGCTGAAACAGCTGCTAGATGGTTTGAGTGGGTGGAAATCAACACTAATATGAATACATTAAAAATTTCCTTTAATTTCACATTATGATTACAGGATTCTATACGATTATTATTATCTCATAACGAATATTTGTGTTAATATCTTGACATAATGCCTACTGCCTCTCTTGAAGAATACAATAATTGCATTTTTGTAGTACAGAGGCCATATTATGTATACAGCAGTATTTTAATAATTCAAGTTAATTCGTACTTGCCTCTCCATACTATATTTCCAATTTATTTGACAGTATAAAAAAAAATTTAATATTGATATCTTTGACTTTAATTAACTTACTTTAGCTCAAGTTAATTTGGCATCATGTCTATATTCAGATCAACAATGGATATTAGATTACATTTGTAGATCTGAAATATATCAACTTCGGCCTATATCATTGTATAGGATACTGCATTGTATTGTATTGAAAGTTTTTGGATAAAATTATAAAAATTGTATTCTTAAGCTGGGCATATACTGCACTTAACGCGATTACAGTTAAACTTGCTTACAGTAAAGTCAACTTGCCTTAAACTCAAATAATTTCAAAGTTGATCTTATTTTGACATGCCAAATTGTTGTGTGTTCCCAGCGATCTATAAGTCGAATTTTATCTCTAAGTCAAACAATTTTTCAGTGTCATTTTGGATTTGACTTGGGCAAGTTCAACTGTATTTGTATAGAGAACGAATCTGCTAAAGTGTTATTATTTAGCTTGGATGAAGAGTTCTAGAAACATTCGGCTGATTAATTAATGATCTTTTTTAGCTCTACTGCCTCTATTATACTGCCCTCATGAGGAGCTCTAGAAACACGAGGCTGATTGATAAATAGTTGATTGATTAATAGATCATTTTTAGAGAACTTGTTTATTAGAGCATGCATGTTTTATAATTCCATGATTGGAGGGAAACCTTTCAAAAAAGTTATGTTATATCATCATTATATAGGCTGTGTTTCTCGTTTGCCCACTGCTGAATTAAGCCCTCCTGAAGCAATTTTCCATTTCTTCTGTCTGCTGCTGCACTGTGTTCCATTCTATGCCGTAGCCAGCTATTGGGACAGTCTCATACAATTTTTCTAATGGGTCCACAAAGAATGGGTCCACATTTTTAAAATTGGGTCCAAATTATGTTAACTTTATGCATAAAATGGGTCTACTTAAATTTGAAAAATGGGTCCAGATTTCTCATATTTAGCTTAAAATGGGTAAAATTAAGGAAAATGGGTCCGGATTTTTAATATTTTTGTGTAAAATGGGTCCACATTGTTTGAATTTACGCGTAAAGTGGGTCCACCCTGGTATTGTCCCGCACTATTTGAAAATCCTGGCTACAGCATTGTTTCCATGTTGCCATTTTCATATTTTCTGAGTAATATTAGTAAATAGCATAACAGAAACTTCATACTGATTCACCTTCAGTCATTTGCTTTGTCATTACATATTTTATTAAAGCTCTGTCCACACTATGGCCATACTTCTATTTGTGTAGACAGAGCTTTAGATGTATGTCACATTTTAATATTTGTCGCATATAATTTGAGTGTGGACACAGCTTTAGATGCATGTCACATTTATTTGTCACATAAAATTTGACAGTGTGACAAAGCTTTAGGTGCTTTAGGAATTCAACTCAATTTATTGTAAATGTGAATGTTTATAATTATAGTTTTAATTAATATATAATATTTAAATAATGTAATGAGTAGTAATGTAACACTTTTGTTAATTTTTCTAATTTCAATTATACACCTAAATGTGTATTTTTGCAATTTGATGTTGGTTTGGTGTAACTAATGCTTTCTAATTGTTTATGCCAGATTCAAGGAACATTTCTGTATTTTATATGTGAATAAACCAATAAAGATTATATTAACTCTTATCTTTCTGTTCATGTCACATTTATTTGTCACATAAAATTTGACTGTTTGGACAGAATTTAAGATGCATGTCACATTTTAATTTGTCGCATATAATTTGATATTTCATGTTTTGATATTGTAATCTGTTAGCAATTGAGACAACTCAAGGAAACATAAAGAAACATTAAGAAATTTATCGCAAGCTCTTATCAACATTTATTTTATTCTTCATTATATACATCTTCTAACAATTTTACATGATCGATACAAACAATTATCAACAAAAACAATGACATATTTTGCACCAGACTATTCAAAATTCACAACAAAGCACACACAATTCATGTTCCACAATCAATTTTTTTTTCAAAAGTTTACAAGAAAAAATCAATCTATATAGTATACTACATCTTCAATTACTTGCACCTGAAATAGAGTGTCCATTTTATTTATCTTCAGTATCCATCTACAGAAATTAATAACTGACACTCCTCTTCATACAGCATACAACACACACTTTATAAAGCTAGCTTTTACTACGTTAAACATAGTATTGCTGGGCTTTCTATTACACACACCTATTCTCTATATCTATGAGCAAATAAGGCAAACTTTATACAATCTTCATAAACACTATGTTTATGCGGAATCAAATTAAATTTGTCCAATTTGGAATTTGTCAAATAAATCACGAGTGAATGCCACATTGCAAGAATGCAGTCTGGACTTCCTACATTTTTTTTGTTAAAAGTTTAAACTCTCTGTGTGGCACTTCTGCGATATCTCAGAAAGGTCACAGTTCAACAGTAAATTCACTGCTGTATTAGGGGTGATCCCAGCTGTCAATGAGAAATGTGCAATTTGTCAGGGAGAAAATTTCTTTAAATATATTTTTTTATATATGTAGACTTGATGAAATAAGCCTTTCAAACTGCAAAATTCTCAGTTTTCAGGGGGTTTCTCCTCCGGGCCACTTTCAAAAGATTTTGAGCAACCCTCCCCCACCCCCAACCACGCCCATGTACAGGCGTGGTTAGGAAATCCTGGAGCCACCCCTACACAGATATGAATCTCAAAGTCGTGTTTTACCATATCTTCTACATGAATTTACAGTATATCAATTTTTTAAATAAAATTATTGATATTAAATACATACAACCACACACACAACATATCACTGTATTTTGTAAGATTATAGTCTGTAATAAAATCAGGAAAAACGCACAAAAACAAAAATAATTAAAATACTGAATTGCTTACAAATATTTAAAGATTAATATAGGAACTCCAAATAAGAACATATTGAAACAATTACATTTAATGGTCAAATGCACAAAAAAAAAAAATGAAATTTTATATGTTTTATTTATTTATTTTTTGTTAATTATCAAGGAGAATATTTTTGGTTCCTTAATTTTCAATTTATAAAGTTAGCAATTCAGATTTAATTTTTTAATTCATTTTTAGCTCACAACCAAACTTACACCTGGTTTCCTAAAAGTTGCTACAGTGTTTTTCTGTCCAATCATCGTACTGCGTAGCGTTCCCTGACGCAATCGGGAAGGCTCTTTGATTCAACCGACCAATCAGAATCACCGAAATCTGTTGGAGATAGCGTGTAGCAATCGTATGGAAACCAAGGTTTAAGTTTATCAATTTTTCTTTGACAAAAAACTGTTGTATGCCCATATATAGTCATGGTGTGCCAACATATGGTTATGATGTCATCATGACCATATGTACACCGTATTTAGGCATGTCACATGGTTTTGTCAAATTAAATTTGATAGCCTGGAGAGGGCTTTATATTAATCATAAGATTTGGCAATTATTACTGTAGTATAATAATGCAATCAAACCAAATTTGTATGATTATTGTCTGGTATTTATGTTTTATGAATATTATCAATTTTTATTCTCTAAGCATAAAAGGGAGTACAGATTTTATATACTGTGATTAAAGGTAGCTCTCTGTTAACTACAGCATTGAGTAACTTTTTCCCCACACACATGTGTTTTGTTCTTGGTCTGTGCAGACCAAACAATGTCACAGATTCTCCCTCCCCCCCCCCACCCACCAGGTCCCCAATAGGGGATCCACAATTATGACTAAGGTAAAAATATTCTAGAATTCAGGTACCTCTAAATGCCTAAAAATGGCAAATTCTGACTGTGAAAATACTTTTTCAAAGTAGTGTTCCCCAATTATTTACAGTAGGTTTCTTTCCAGACGTGGGTCAGGGCTCACAAACGGGGGATATCCTTGGATACCCTTGGACCCCCACTGACATCTCTACTGGTGGAGACAGAAAACTATGCATATAGTACAGTTTCTGTACTAACCATATTGTATTCTGTTAATTATTCCTCTATGCCTTATTCTAGTGCATATTTACATTGCAATTAACCCATACACAATACAGTAAATGTTTTCCAAAAATATCCAGCACTACAATGATGCATTTCTATTCAAATATTTCCAAAATTCATTTGCAATAAAATATTAAGAAATAGAAAATATTAGCTTTTTACAGTATCAACCATTTATACACAAGAAATATTCAATTAACATTAGTGTCTGCAGTATTTTCAAACTCTTTTACATTCAGTATTAGCATTCATTGCTTCAGTACAATTTTTGGCCCATGTTGAAAACACAGGAGGTGCTGTATAGCCTACCCCCTTACCAGAACAAATTCTGTTACCATGGATATTGTATCATGCAATTAGATTCACCCCCATTATCCATTGAAATAAACAGTCAAGTACAGATATAAAGATAACCTTAATTGAATGTGACCCAACAAAAGGAATAGAATTGCATTTGGCAGCAGTGGCTAATACAGAAATTTGAAATAGAGAGTGGCCAAGGAAGATACTTTTAGAGATAGACACCTCAGTCCTACCATGGTTGGGGCTGAGGCAAGAACATTATGAGTATGGTACCTCTCGATGGCCAGAAATGACACTCTCAGGCTTAATTTGAATATAAGCAAAAAGTATAGAACTACAAGAGGTCCGACTAGTAGTTTCTTTGAAATGTAATCCTATCAAAGAAATACTGCCACGAAAAAGCGTGTCCTTAACAGATGCACAAAAGATGAGTTTCGAGCGAATTCTAATAGGGTACCCCCCTATGCATACAATATCATGCCAGTTATACACCTTGCATTTCTGTACTCTTTGAAATAAGCTTCTTTTGGTCTCCATTTTTATTTATTATTCTGAAAAAATGAGGGAAGAAAGGGGGGAGGGGGTGTCTGGGCCAGCTGGGTTCCCCTTTGAATCCGCCACTAGACAGGTGGCTATTACTGCCATTCTTGGTGCTTGATCTGATAGGAACCTATATTAGTACAGTAATTGCTAGAATTCTACACTGTTCCATCTCGTAAACCATTATGCAAAATGGAGCAGAATTAACCTCTTTCTTTATCTCTGCTCTTTGGGGACGGTAATAAAAACACAAAATGCGCATAATTTCTTAATGAGAACCATTGCACAGCCTGTTTGCAATAACTGCAGAATTATTTACATTATTTGACAAGATGGTCCTTTCATACGAAAATTAGAAATTACAGTATTTAAACAGAATATCAAAAGATTGCAAAAACAGATCTTTCTCTACCTATGTACATGCTATAAATCAAAATGTCCATATAATTTTATATTGTCTGTAGGAAAAACTCTGTAAAACTTTAAAAATCAATTAATAACACATTGAATTACAGGTCCACCTCCAATTAAAGACCCCTTCAATTAAAGACTGCTTTTTTGTGGTCCCAAATTAAAAAATGTTTTTAAAAAAATGTAAAAATTGGGTAGCGCCCATGCGAAATGCAAAGGCACCAAATTTTTCTTTCTCGTTTTTTTTTGGGGGGGAAGCAGGATTTGGGGGCCCCCAACCCTGTGAGTGTCCCCCTCCATTTTTTACAGTGGGGCCTACTAGCCCCAGACCTCTGATATTTTCTAATTTATCAAAACTCATCTGCTGCTGGTCTTAAGCTGGTTTTAAATTCGCATGAATTTAGTCGTGGGAATCGAAAGCATCAGTTCATGCGCATATACATTCACATTTCTATCAGTTTCTTCCTTCAGCAAAATCAGTATTTGAACTGTTTCTACTTTTTGCAGAGCGAAGAAATGCACAACCAATCAGACCTCAGGAGAACCAACGCTTTCAATTCGTGGAAAATAAATTCGCCTAGTGGAAAACCGGCGTTATTGTTCTCTACTAATTCATAAATCGGTAATTAAAAAGAAATTGACTGAAAACTAATTAAAACCTATTGCAAATTACTTTAGAGTATCGATGGTTATTAATAATTTATTGTCATTTTCTATCCATTATTCAATAATACGGTAATAATATAACCAAGTATTACTCGGAAATTAATGTCTCATATGTTTCAACCGTCACAACTGACGTAATACACTGTTTTTAAATATTATAAATTCTTCAAAAATTTCGTTAAAGTAGACTTATCTATCTGTGTCCACTAGTCCAAATTAATTGAATCTTACCACTGCATCCTACAAAATATTTATTTTTAATTTTCTATTTCATTTAAATGTATTAGTTTCCGCCCATAGCCAATTAATTTTCCGAATGAATTAAAGGCAAATATTAATAAATCACTATAGGTTTAATAGTACACATAATTATACATTGACCTTCATACACACAGACATACAGTTAACTGCGGGATGGATATGTTCAATATCAAGATTATACTATACATCCCTGTTACCATGGAAACATGGACATGACTCATTTTAGAATGAGGAGTAATTAGTAGAGAAATTTGATCCATTTTATGGAATGAAATTCATGAATTGAGCACATTTCATCTATAAATAATAAATAAGAATATAATTAAAATTCAGGGGTAACACAATTTTAAGCCCATATTGGGCTAACTGTCATGTATAAAATAAAATCCAACCAGGCATAAAGAAGAACAGTATAGCAAGAAACAAACAAGACACTTATAAAATAAATATGCTTATGATTTAAGAAATAAATGTTATTTAATGACATTTATATTCAAAATAATTTAAATTGTCAACATCATTTTCAAGAGGAATGAATGGAATGTGATTGAGAAACATAAAAAATACCAGATTTTAATATCAAGGTTTTATAATCTGGACATTATATTTTATTTTTATCAACTGCATCTGTACGCTTTGGTATATGTTCTTAAAATGTTTGCGGACTCAACTACGGTATATTCTAAACAAGCATGGTATAATTGTATAGCAAGGCTTAAAACTGGTATGCAAGGTCCTAGGTAAAAATCCATCCAATAATAGGGTCATGTCAAGACTAAAGGTTTCACTCCTTATCCTCCACAGGGGCAGATTTTGGGAGGGAGAATGGGGAAGATTTTGGGACAGGGAATAGGCAGGATTTTGGGAGGGGGAATTTTTCAAACAGTGGTGGCTCCATAAATTTTTCTGACAGGTAAGGGGGATGTCAGCAAGTTTGAAAAGGGGGTCTGAACTAAGCAGCTGCCTAGAGCTTCAGTCAGGGTAGCAAAATAGAAGAGGGAGATATCATGCTGAAAATTTTGCTTTAAGAACACAATATTAGGCACTGCAGTCACAACACTTTAGTCCGATGAACCTGTTGTAGCATTATACAATGGGGGGGGGCTGTCTCTTATATGGGGGACATTATCCCCTGACCCTGTGTTTGCCACAAACTGCCAATATTGTTTGATAATAAAACAAAATGTATGCCTTTCAGTGGCAGATCTAGGAATTAAAAAATTGAGGGGGACCCAGGGGATTTTAACTGATGGAGGATCTAGACTACCTCAGCCCCACCATTGTTGGGGCCGAGGTAAGAAAATTTATGATTATGGCACCACTAGATGGCTGGATATAGCACCACTAGATGGCTGGAAATGGCACTCTCAGACCTAAATTTGATTAATATTTTCTTTTTTTCTACTTTTTTTTTTTTTATTTTGAAAAATTTAGGGGGGGGGTGCAGATGGCCCCCCCCCCCCCCCGAATCTGCCACTATCTTTCTATGTTTGTTGGGAGTGTAATCACATGAAACATAGCTACAGCTTTTCCCGTATGAAAATGTACAGTAGATGATGAGTCACTAGATGAAAATACAATATGATTGCACAGTTCTTTGTGAACTGGCTTGCGTTCTCTGAACATATGGAAGAATTGATTGGAAATTATCATCCAAAATAGAGACCTTCATATTACAAAAATAATTTGAATTGACGGGATATAGGAAACATACTCAATTGGAGCAAACTGTGTCTTATAATATTGTATTTACTATAAATTTGTAATGGCAGACAATTGGAGCACCTACTATTCCATTAAGCGTACATTCCAAATGTGTTGACAATATGTTATAGTTTCTAGAATGATCCTCAATGGTATAATTAGGAATATTTAAATTACTACATGTGTTATAAAATCTATTTAAGAAAATTAAATTCTTTCCATTCAATAAATATTCATTCACATCAGACAACACAAGTATATACCTTGTTTAGCCAACCCGCCATCTGCCAGTAATGATTATTTTGAATTAAGAAAAGAAAAAAAAATAGCCAATTAGTGCAGCTGCCGCCACAAAAAAATGGAAATTTCTGAAAAAAAATGGAAATTTTCTTTAATTTTATTACACCCTCCACTGACTAGTAGTCTCCAAAAACAAGGTATGTATATTTCTTCCCAATTATATAAATTTAAAGCATTTAACCATCCCATTACTACACAGATTACAATATATCCGCCAATGAAATTATATATTCATTTCCTCCTTTGCAAAATAAGGAAACAAATTTTATTTTAATTTTTTTTTTTCATTTCTCCACCCCTCCCCCCGACGATCTTTAAAAAATAAGTTCACAAAACAAGGTACAAAAAAGTCTCGCCCCAAGTGGTATTTATTATTATTAGAAAAAATAATGTTCTTGTTAAAATATTATGACTGGGCATGGACACAGATTATGCAAATTATCATGCAATAATAATTTATAATATTATGAATATTATTCCTTTTCTTATCTGTGAATTTCTGAATTGCAGATTTTAAATAATTCCGGTACAGTTAATTACTGTATGTATAAATTGACACAATAGAAAAGAGCAAAAGGTGGAATTTATTTACGATAATAAGTGAATCATCAAGGATATAAAAAGGGCCAGAAATAATTGTTCAACCTGGCAATTACAGTTATGGGCACAAGGAATAAAATGGACGGCAAAAGACAACAATACTTTAAAGGATGATTTTTGTATAATTTATTTATTTAATAAAAATTTGTAGTGGCTATCCCTAGCAGTCGTATTTATCGGGTGGTTTCTATTTAAATATATTGTTCTATATTAAAAAGCTGTTAAGGAGACTTGAAAATTGAGGGGGGTGTGCAGGTGTTGATGAGGGTGCAAAGGTGAAGCCTAATGATTAGATGAGAGGGAGCTAGCAAAATAAGGTAATATGAGGTGGTTTAAAAAGTTCAGCTAGTTTTCCTTCACCCTCACCCTGACACAATCACGGTGTGGTCACAAAATCTCTTTTAAAATTAATTAGAGTGTTAACTAAAAAGAGGATGTTGCAATAATGCGCTTTACAAGTTCACTAATTATTATCATTAGTCTTATAAGTACACACTAATTATTGATAATGTATGGTTATCATTACAAATATACTAAAGATAATGCACATTGTGAAACGTTTAAGGCTCTCTATCAACTACAGTACTCCTCAAGATGTTTTAACCTGAATCTAAAAAAAAAAAAAATATGTTTCATAAACAGAAACCTAAAATTGAAACAAATATTGCTTTTATTATTGAAACAGAAATTAATATTATTAGAATCATTACAAATACTAATCCTATACACCATTTTTTTGCTAAATTTAAAATGAAAATTTCCGAGAATTTCCTGGCAACTACCACTGAGGGACATCCAGATGCTTAGACATTTAGCTCTACGTAGTTTACTAGTGTTTATTTGTGCACAGTGACTGTTGCACAACCTTGTTGTTGTAGAGGCCTAGGCTGGTCTTTGAAAACAAAATGCCAAAAAAAAACAAAAAAAACCAGAACCTTGGGGGGGGGGGGCACATTAAAACCTGCAGCATTGGTTGTCTAAGTACTCAAAAGAAGATATGTGTCAGTCAGGCTGCTGGACATCCCCTAGAGAAAAGTTGCCAGATGTTGGTGGCGCTGTTTCAAAACAGATCCTGATAAAATGGTGTATAAGCCTTGCACAGACATCACAAGCTTCATAATCTATTAATATCAATAATCCAAAGAAATTTTGTACAACTATCAAATATAATAAAAATATTCAAATAATATGTAATTATTTAGATTACAATTAGAATCAAGTACAGTACAAATGATTGGATTGAGGTAAGAAAATATTATAAGATACAAAAAAGTAATTAATTCAATTAAATACGAACTGACGGTCTATTACATGTGTACATATTTCATCACACAGGAAAATTATTATTCGTCAAGGTCACTTAAGAAGCATGTGGCTATTTAATATAATTGAATTATTACTAACAATAAAATATTCATGATAGCATATGGAGAGAGGTCAACCCACCTGTTGGGCATTGGAAATTGTAGTAGTTAAATCCGAGTGACATATAAAAAGTTATGTAAACAAAAAGCATTATCAAAATTATTAAGCTGGAGCCCGATTTATGAAAGCAATATAATAAAAGAATAAAATATTATATAAAATTTGATAGTCTATAACAGGGCCGAACAAATTGTGCCTCATCTTTTTCTAAAGAATAACAAGAGATATGTTGTTTTATTTTCTATATGGCCTAAAAATATGCAAATCGTTCTCACAAACAGATCGAAACCATATCTCTCTCTCTCTCTGTATTTCTTCCTGTCTCTAATGTTTACTTTTCTCTCTCTTTCCTTCAATTTTATTTTCAAACTATCAAATTTGACAAAATCATGTGAAATGCCTACAAATAAGATGACATCACATCATGGCTATATATGGGCATACAACAGTTTTTTTGTTTTTTTTTGTCAATGAAAATTTGATACGGTCTGGACCGAGGTTTATAAATAGTTTACAGTAGTAAACTAATGCTAGAAAAGAAATACCATATTATAATGTGATATTGAAATAAGTTTTTGCTCCTTAATTGAAAAATAAGTGAAAATAACAAAAAAAAAATAAATTTAAATTTGTAAGTCAATTTTATTCTAATTTTGAAATATTTATAAATTAAGTTTTATTATCATCAATATTATTAATAATAATAACAAATTCTATTACTCTCAGATTCTTTAAAAATGATTTCAGGGCTTTTTTTTTGTGATTTCAATTTAGAGGTAATTTAAAACATTACATGACCTTGTAGTGAAGTAACACCCATTACTGATGTTGAACCGTTGCCTAGCAACTTCCATTGTGTTATAATTATATGAATTTTGGTAATATTTAATCTCCTTCGTCTCTCCCTCATCATCATTCAGTATTATTCATTATGCCACTGCAACATCATTCATAAAGAATTGCAACCAAATACTTTCAATCAATAGGTGGATTTTAGTCCAGCTGAAATAAAGTAATCTTTGATTGGGTTCTCTACGAAGGCACAAATTCCATAGAGAACCTGAGAAGAAAAAAAATGTATCTCATCACAAATGTTTCAAAATATAACTCTTATTGGATATATTTACGAGTAAGGTATTATTATTATATAAAATATTAATACAAACATATAAAAAATAATAAATTTAAAATATGAAATGTTGACATGTTCAAATATGGAGGAAGAACTAAATTATAATAAATACACGTAAAAAATTTCATAATATTTTTTATGACTGTATTATTCACAGGATAAAAATCCAGCTACCCTTTGATTTTTTTTTGTGTCGTGTGTAATTATAACTGACCGGCATCATGTAGTTGATCCCAGCAAACTTCCAGTACACAGTAATGCCATTCGGAGTCTACACGATAAGCAGTGATGTCATTCAGAGAAACACTCAGGAATCACACTTCTGTAACCTCAGCTACATTTTCATCCAGGTCATCATTGCTATGGTAACAACTGTCCTCCTCTTGGTGATCCGTCTCCTTCACTTTCTTCGTCTCTTCTAATGATTGTTCGCTATCTCTTGGACCTACCAACAATAATTTAGAGAAGATAAAATTTAAATTATTTATACTAGAATATAAACCTACCTCCATATATATAAACTGAATGGAAAAATAGAATAAACTAATTCACACTTTTATTCTTTTCCTTAACTAGCAATTAGCAAAGAAAAAAATTGATTTATCAATATTGAGAATGAACTCTTTGAAATAACTACTGTAAATCAACACATCAGTCATTTGTACAGCAATAGTTATTTCTTTCATCATTATTAAAGTCTAAGTGATACACCAATACAGTATGAACTGTGTGTGTGGTCTGGGGCAGATGCAGGAAGGGGAGGGGGAGGGGCTGAGGACTGGTATAAACTCTCATTCACTCCCTATAGCCAAATCCTGCATTTGCCCCAGGTGTCTGTCTGTGTCTTTGTCTCTGTGTGTCTCTCTCTGCCAGTGGCATACTGTATCTGGGGAAAGCATTGGTGGGAAGAGGGCAAGGCCCAGAATATGCTCTTCTTCACCACAACTGTAAACAAAGGCACCCCCAGTGGAAATTTGCTGAGCTTAAGAAATCATAAAAATGTATATCACCTATCCCCCACTTAATTCCTATACTCAGCATATGTCATTGCTATCTGAATGTGCCCGAAGTTGATAATAATTTTTAGCATTATTTGTATGTCGTAATTTGAGAATGGCACTTAATAGTATAATAATTATAATATTTAATAAAAATGATAAATTATTATTTTATAAAACATATTTATACACGATACAATTTCAGACAAGAAACAGTATTCTGTTTTTAAAGAATGGTCAGGCTGTTTAAGAAAATTATCATTTGTATAAAAATGAATATTTATTTATATGAATGGTCAACATAATAATGATACAATACAGGAATATATTTCACCCCTTTTACCGAGATACAAGACAGAACAAAATAATGTAAATAATTACATTATAATTGCACTTTACAATTTGAAGAATATAAGCCTAGAAAATAATGCTTAAAAACTCCAAATTGAACAAAAACCAAAATAGGTTTAATGATAGCATTGAACAATCTTTGTCTAACTACATGATGGTGCTGGTACTATCAAAACAAAACACACAGACAATCAAGTGTCCCAACAAGAGGTCATCAAGTGATATGACCTCTACCATTCCATGAATCGTTTTTTGTTCTATTTAATATTAACAGTAAATTCTGACCTACTGTACTACCTAGCCACAGTATTGACCTCAACTACATACTCCTTATCTAATCATCTGAAGATATGCTTTAGTGTAATGCTCTAGTGATGGCAACTATTATTATCTAAATAAGCCATTTCCCACATAATGATCACTATAAATCACTCTACTGCGACAGCAACTCCACACTGTATGCTGTATTGGTACTTATTATTTTACCCTAAATCGCTGCTATAAACAACATTAAAAAATTATCTATAAGGATTCTTACGCTGAGTATTATTGCTCACTCTAAACCATGTTCTCTATCTGTAGACTTCCAACTAAAAGATGTATTGTCCCTAGAAAATTACAAAAAAAAATAATAAAAAATAATTTTGACATTAAACTTGCTCATTTTGCAGTAACATACATATTATTATTCACTTGAGCATAAAATTATTGAAGTTAAAAAATGAGTACCCTGGTTTTTTAAGCTTGATAATTATATAAATAAAACACTTCCAGTGACTAGAAGAGTTTCTATCATTCTCACTGTAAAATTATGCATACAAATTTTTAAATAAACTAATTTCTATGTTAAGTTGACAATTTTTATGTTACTTCAAATTGTGTAAGTTAATTTCAAAAATGATTTTTATGACTTTTTCGGTATTTTTTTTCATGGAACTAAAGGTAAAGGTAGTCAAACCTGTTCAGGTGTGAAGTGCCCAACCCTCTTTCGTAAGCATTGGGAGCAGACAATGCAATGCTTTGAGGGCATCGCCACTCCTCCTCACAACAAGTCTGTTTACCTTCCCAGCATATGAAGGTTCCCTAATCATACTTCCGGGTAGAGAGAGAAAAACGCAGATAAAGTGTGTTGCCTAAGGACTCAGTTGATCTGCACAGTGACAGTTTCAAACCCCCGACCAGGATGTTGGGAGTCCCGAGCCTCAACCGCTACACCAAACGCTTCCACTTATGCATGGGACAATACATCTTTAACACAGTATGATATCGCATACACTCTTTGAATTCTGTCTAATCCTAGCTATAAAACACCTTTTGTGACATAATAACCACCATCACTAATTCATAGTGCAGTAGAAATGTCAGCGCTACATTGTGTGCATTCAATCATAGAATACTTGGATAATGTTTGACTATAAATCATAAAATTACATATTATAGGGGGACAACCTTTGGGACCTAAAAAAGTGTCCCCTTGTCATTGTCAATTAGGGGATGGATGTAGTGTTAAAAAGATATGTTTTCGCTCAATTTGTGGCCAGGAATGTCCACTTAATAGGGGTGTCCCCTGAATAGGGGATGGATGTAGTGTTAAAAAGATATGTTTTAGCTCAATTCGTGGCCAGGAATGTCCACTTAATAGGGGTGTCCCCTGAATAGGGGCATCTTAAAGGAGGTGTTCTACTGTATTCTTGGAATATGGATGCTATTCCAAAACCAAAATCAGTGACCAACTACAACAAAAAATTGAAATATTCAAAAAATATTCATTCTCCACATAATACGCTTTAAAAATGATGTCATTTTACTGGAATCGACTTGATATTGCCAAAGTTATAAGTAAAAGCATTGTACTGTAGCTTCTCTGTATTTAAAAGTATACAATACTGCCACAGTAATCACTTATTTTAACATTTAGCGACTTTACACTGTTTTTGTGATGACAAGTCCCATATATGATAAAGAATTAGAAAACAAACATGGTTTCATTGTGGCAGTCAAACAAGCTATTTCAAAAATGGTGAGTATTTCTTAAAGGAACGATCATTTTCGATTTAAAATTCACGAGAAAAATTTCAGATTTAAGTCCGTCGGAAATGATAAACATTGAATAACATAGGTATACAGCCTAATCCTAAACAAACTTTGAATAATGTATGCACTGAAATTCGACCTATAATTCATGGAGGAAGAATCTGTAGCATTTTTTTTTTAATGTATTGAGATCTTAAAAAACATTTCAAAATGTCTAGTACAACTTAAAGTGTAGGAGTGACTACAAATGTATAATTGTTTAGGTCTGTTTGCAATGTAAGATGGATGACTTCTCTACGGAGGAGGTTTACTGTCGTTTATGTTTGCCTATGAATAATAATAATAATGGGCATATTGTATGTATGCTCTTTAAGATTGTCTTTCGATTCCTCACTAAACAAATACTGAACATTAGGTCTACTGAGTAGCAAACACAATAGATTTTCAGTCTGGAACAGGTATCTGTAAAATTTAATTTTTATTTTATTTAATTATTTATATATGTCGGTATAAAAAAACATTAATATACAACAGGTAGCACAAAGGCTAAAATTATTGCATGTACACAAATATTAAAATAGAATTATATAAAAATATTACTATAATTAAATTATTGCACAAAAGTTGACATAAGACAAATAGCAAAATTGAGTTACAATTAAGGACCACCTCTGATTAACACTGACCGCCAGGGGTTTGAAAAAATAGTATCAGCCACTGCCAGATTTTTTAAACACTTTTCCAAAGCTCGTTGAGAGTGCATATGTTATAAGATTGACATGTAATGAATACTACAAGAACTACACACATTGTAGCTTTACAATGGTAATGGAAAATAGTGTTCAAATTGTTAGTACATGTCGGTAATTACCCCATCTATCGGATTTCGTAAAAAAACCTGAAACATGGAAATTTCCTTGTTTGGCGGTCAAGTGTTGCATTACCAAACACGGAGATCTCCGTGTTTGGCGGGCAGTGTTAAAGACCACTTTTCTGTGGTCCCAAATAAACAAACGTCTAATATATTTATTATTGTAATTAGAAACCAAAGGCTCTGCAAGACCATGGAAACTATGTTTCCAAAAGTTGTCTTAAATTGGAGGGAGAGTTGTATAAACAAATTATTATGAAGGAGATTTACTAACTTATGTTTGCCTCTGAATAGGCCCATAATACAAACAAGTTTTGTATAGTATGTACACTATGCCCTTTAAGATTTTCTTTCGATTTCACTAAACAAATACTGAAGTCATTATTGTGAGAAGAATGCTCAACAGCATTTCTTCAATTTAGAAGCTACCTGTAAAATTCACTTGATGTTGGGAGTAATATTTATTACTACAGGTCTTTAGCAGCTTTGGTCTCTAATTAGAATAATAAAGTTAAAAGATATTTGTGAATTTGGGACAACAGAAAAGCGGTCATATTGGAGATGGTCCTTAATTGGAGGGGCCTTTAATTAGAGGCAGAACTGTATTAATTACGGGAATATTATTATTATTATTATTATTATTATTATTATTATTATTATTATTATTATTATTATTATTTTCATGATTAATTCTCTTTCACCTGAATCTAATTATCCTCTTTACAAAAAATTTACAAAACGTAGAAAAATGATCCATTTCTGCAACGCAAGATTTAGTTGAGTAACGCCCCTACCCCAGTAATGCACAGTTTGGTTAGGGTGGGGTATGCAGGTCATAGACCTTAGTGCCAGAGTAACGCCCCTACCCCAGTAATGCACAGTTTGGTTAGGGTGGGGTATGCAGGTCATAGACCTATAGTGCCAGAGTAACACCCCTAACCCATTAATGAATAGTTTGGATAGGGGGGAATGCAGGTCATTTGGACCTCCCTACCCCTGAATGCATATTTCTCTTTCTTTTCATGTAATAATATTTTTTATTTTTGTTATTTATTATGTTTCATAGTATGGCTATAATGTATGTTGTTCCGAAATAAAGTTGGATTAAATTGAAAACAAATAAATGTCCAATGCCATTATTTGTTTAATGATTCAGTGTTTTTTTTTTCTATTTTTTAAATTCTTAAATTTTTTAACAGAATATATTCAATCAGGTGTAACTGTATTTTGGTATAGAGTAAAACTGCCTCCTTTGTGACACCCGTAGTAGGAGAACACCTCTATTAAGGGGACACCCTTTCAGCCACAAAATCAGCGAAAGTAATGCACAGTACTGAATATCTTTTACACTTTGGCCGACCCCTAGTAAGGGGACACCCCTATTCAGGGGACAATTTCTTAGATCCCTAATGTGTCCCCTTAATACGGGTTCTACTATACTTTAATGTGTTTCTTGTAATATTTTATTGTAAGTGACCAAACGATTCCCCTATATTGTCGAATAATTATGAAGTTTTATTGTATGGCATTGTACTGTATTATTAAACAATAAAATAACTTAATTTAAAAAAATGTATTACGATACCCTTGGTCTTAATTTTTTTAAATAATATATTATACAATACCCTTTGGGTTTGGCCACTTATTAAGCAAAGCCTGCAGTACTTCTATATGTTTTTCAAACGCCATGCTTGCCAGTGGATGTTGCATTCCTATGGGAGATGGACACATAAGGACGGGTCCGAAACAGACGGCGATATTGTACGTGTCCATCTTGTTACTTTCGTGGTGTAGGGACACCAACTTCAAGTGATCCAACATAAAACAAACGGTTTCCTGTCAAAATATAACAGAAAGTGAATTTAAATTGCTTATTTTTAATGAGGAAGTAAACGACAAGCTTAATATTTTTAAAGGAATTGATTCACTTGAACATACTACAGTATAAGTAAAGCATTTAAAAAACAAATTATTTATAAACATATAAATGTGAATATTCTGTACTCATATCGTGAGAACATTAATTAGTTAATTATTAATTAATTAATTAATTAACTAATTAGCTAATAAATAATTCAATGATCATACAGTATATAAATGAGCTTAAATACTACAGGTCTACCTCCAAATAAAGACCAATTTGGGGACCAAGGCTTTTATGGTCTTTAGAACAGCTTTGGTCTCTAGAATATGACATGTCTTAATTTGGGACCGCAGAAAAGTGGGAGGTGGTCTTTAATTAGAAGGAGACCTGTACAAGTAAACATTTTAAAAAATGATTTTATAAATGTAAACATATTCATACCATGAGTATCAATTCGGTAATTAATATTTATAATTAATTTATTTATTTATTCATTAGCTAATAAATTCTTCCATGCTCATACAATAAATAAATAATAATAGAAAGTGAATTTCAAAGGCTTATTTTTAATGAGGAAGTAAAAGAACAGTTTAATATATTAAACATAGTTTTAAAGAAATGTATTCACTTGAACATACTAAAAGGAAACCATTAAAAAATTATTGAAATATCATGGAAGTTCTAATTTACTAATATCATGGAAGCAGTTAATTAATAATTAATTCATTAATTAGTTAATAAATTCTTCCATGATCATATAGTATAGAGTATAATATAAATAAATATAATAGAAAGTAAATTTAAATTATTATTCTTAATGAGGAAGTAAAATACAAGTTTAATTTTATAGTAAACACAATTTTAAAGAAATGTATTCACTTGAACATACTACAAGCATTTAAAATATTTACAAATTTATGTAAACATACTCATCATGGAAGTATTAATTAGTTAACAATTTAGCTAATAAATTCGTCCATGCCCATACTGTGCAGCAGTGTTCGAAATAAGGAAAAACTTAAAGTTGTCCGGCGGACAACCTAGATGGAAACTTTGGTTGTCCGCAAATGTTTTTACTTGTCCGTATATTATCTGTTGCTTGCTTTATTTTTACCTTGCACTAATGGCGCAGCAGTGCAAAGTTATGTATGTGTACCATCTAAGATGGCCGTCGTAGTAAAGCACCACCTTCAGGCTTAGTATACATATTATTACATACTGTATTAATAAGCCCTCTGACTGACTATTATTTCATTAATGATAATGAGTAATGGTAATAACAAATTATTAAACTATTGTAGCCAAAATGAGGCCAAGTGGAGCATCTTATTCAAAAATAAAGTACCAAGGAATGAAAATTAAAATCGTGTACACTACACCCAAACACCGCAAGGCTCGAGTTTCAAACATACAGGTAACTAGCTGTAATGAACTTTTATGAGTAAATTGAAGGCGCAATTGCAAACGATGGTGCTTAGCGAAATTTGATTGGCTAAATCTATGGCAGCCATCTTGGATGGTACACACACACAGTTCTGCGTATTTCGAACATCGAATACTGTACATTGCGGTTAGCGCCCTAGTATTCTTACTATATTTCTATGGGCCCGCAACAGTACAGTATAAGTAACACGCGAGAGGCCGCGTGTTACTTCGGCGAATCCAAAATGGCCGCGCCCGTGACAACAACGCAGTAAAGTTCGGGAGGCAAAAAACCATTACTTGAGGTGAGGTTTCAGTTCAAAGTTTTTTGGTTGTCCCACAGACAAGTTGCCCTATAGTTCTGGTTGTCCGTGGGACATTTTGGTTGGCTGGGACAAGCGGACAAGCCTTATTTCGAACACTGTCCAGTATAATAGAAATAAAATATACAGTAGTGAACTTAAATTGCTTATTTTTAATGATGAAATAAGACAAATTTAATTACAGTAACAAAATTTTAAAAGACATAAATTCACTAATACATACTACAAGAAATGCATTAAAAAAAACATTTATATAGTATTAAAACATACTCATCATGTGAGTATTAATAACTAATTAATTAATTAGTTATTACATTCTTCCATGCTCATAGAATATATTTTATAAATAAATTTAAATAGAAACTAAATTTAAATTGCTCATATTAATAATGAGGAAGTAAATTAAAAGACAAGTATTTTATAGTAAATATAATTTAAGAAATTTATTCACTTGAATTGAACATACAATTAGCATTGAAAAAAAAATAATTTAATGTAATCCACTATATACACTTATATTTAATATTAAAGTATTATTAGTTAATTAATAATTAATTATTTAGCTAATTGAAACTTTTTTGCTTATACAGAAATGTGTCAGTAACTGTGGGTGTCTATGCCTGGCAACACACATATTTTCGACAATGTGAAGAGAAATAAAGAAAAAAAAATGTGTTTAATCATCCTTAAAAAAAAAAAAAAGCTTGATTTGAGTAACACTATTTTTTTTAATTTGGCCTATAAAATAGGAGGTAATAATAATATGCAGTTACTGCAGCACCTCCACTTTAACACATACAGTACAAATATGTCACCAAAAATCCACACTAGAAGGAGGACTTATCATAATGTACTCAGTATGATAATACAAATGTGATGATAGCTGTGAATAGCAGTGAAGCATCAACAGACACTGTAATCTCTTATCCCTATATTCACAGATAGCTGGCTCTAGAATTCAGTGGGTAATAATTTATTGCACGGCGTAAGAACAAATTCATTAAGCTCTCAGTAATTGAGAGTACTTTCCAATCAAATCCTAGGTAATTTGCGAACCTGTGTTGATTGGCAGAGAATTAACCTGGCTCTGGCAACCACTGTTTATCATGCAGTCTGAAATTTATAAATATCATTTTCATCATGATGATTAATTAGCATTCATCGTTTGATATGATTTAATGTTTGTTTTGGTAAAGGTTTAATTATAATCACTGCCATTATTCATAGAAGAGGCAATGATCTACACGATCGTGCAGTATTATAATGTTATATCTTTATTATAAATTGTAATTTAACGTTCCGATTCTGATTTCACAATTATCATAAAGCAGGCCACATATTCTTACAAGCTGGAAATAACATAGCATGCAGAATACAATAAATACACTACTGTCGAGAATAATACCTAAAATTGTCCAAGTTAAAAATAATAATCTGTAAATTATTAGTATCAATAATAAACCATCAAATAATAAGAAAACAAAACAAAAACAATGATTAATAAAAGAATGATTTATTGATGACTGATAAGACAAAGAAAATGTGTAAGCCAAAAATCGACAACTTAATAGACAACCGAAAGCAAACCGAACTACAAGAAATCATACAAAAGATGATTAAATAAACAATGTTTTTTTCTCCATTTTTTTTTCCAGTAAATGACCATACAATAAAGAATAAAACAAATACAAAAGTCGAAGACAATCAAATATAAAACTTATATAAAAAAAAAAAACTTTTATGCTAAAAATAAATTGGAAGACAAAGGCAAATAAAATCTACACAAAAAATTACTACAATAAGATACGAAAATAGTAGATTCGTAACTATTAAGTGTTTTCAAACATCAAAGGTTTACTAAGAATAGAACCGCTATCCAGACAATCACATTTTATTTGACAAAATCATGTGACATGACTAAATATGGTCACGATGACATCACATCATGACTACAGTATATGGGCATACAACAGTTTTTTGTCAAAAGAAAATTTGATAGTATAGACACAGTAACTGCAGGCCTACAGTACCGTAATTATTAATGTACTGTACGTCTAATTATAGACCATGTGACGAAATTATGCAGCCTATAATTTTGCTGTTTAAATTATGATTATAAAAATAAATGCATAGTCTCTGGAAACGGATCTGAGAAATGACATAATTACGTTCTTAATAGTATTTCAAAGAATTTTCAACAACAAAAAATTGTGTAAAAAAACACTTTAATCTTCTTTTGAGCTGCTGACACTACAATGTCTTAAAGCCCTGCTAAGATTTATGCCAAAATATGGTCGTGATGACATCACATCATGACCATATATATCACATCATGACTATATATGGGCATACATCAGTTTCTTGTGGAAGAAAATTTGATCTGGACAAAACTTTAGAGCTATTCTATTGTCAACACAGTACAATGGTATCCCACAAGGTACTGGTGTACAAGGTGGCTTCCTCATTGGATGTGGTCCTTACCGACAGATCACGTAACCAATCAGGACATGTGAATGATAGAGAAAAGCCGACCTTCGGCAAACGAAACAAAATTCTCTTTTGCTTACCTTGTTAGCAGGAGACAGTGTGTTTATCATGCTGTGGACCATGTCCATATCAGGCACAGGGTTTTCTGATTCAGTGGCAACTTTAATAAATTCCTCGCACAGCCGGTTTGTGAACAGAGGTTCTGGCAGTTCGCGTAGGTAATCCTTAAGAACACCTAATGAGAAAATGGAATAATCCAATTTTGGTGAAACTAGGAGGTCTGTCTTCTGGGGTTTTTTTTTTATAGAATGTAGATACCTTTCGAAACAAAAATGATTATAATGTACAATACAAAGGAATTATCAAATAATCATGATACAAATGAAATTGCACACTGTAGTAATAAATGCAATTTTTTTTAGTACTGGTCACCGGAATAATCATATTGTAAAATAAAAATTGTTAATATTTATAATATTTTTTTCATTATTAGTAGTCCAAAAACAAAAAGGTTGATTAGACAATCAACAAATTTCTTTTTAGTTGGCTACAGGAAAAATAATCTCCAAAAGAAATATAAAAATACCGACTGGTTTTACTATTTATGCGTTTTTAAATTTTACCAGAAAATGTATTGTGTCATGCTAAGTACCAAAAAATCATAAAAATATTTTTTTGAAATTAACTTGCCCATTTTGAATAACACAAAAGTTATCAACTATCAAAAATGTCTACCCATCAGTCTACAGCGAAAAATTATAGAAACACTTCTAGTCACTGGAAGTGTTTTATTATTTTTATTATAATTTTTTGGTTTGCCCTTTTTTTAATTCAATAATTTTTATGCAAAAGTTAATAATTTGTATGCTATTGCAATATGAGCAAGTTTATTTCAAATTTATTTTTTAAGATTTTTTGACATTAGCAAGGGACAATACATCTTTAAGTATGAATAATGTCTTATAAAAATTGCCTTAGTTTCGAGGAAAGCAAGTGGAAAAATAAAATGTGTACTAGTCTGAAAAGTGCTGTTTGTCTTTTATTAACAGTTTTCGAGGAAAAGCTAAATCAATAGACTAAACCATGAACTTTGAGAATGAAAAAAGAACATCCTATTACCTGTAATGACATGAATATCTGGACAATTATCAAAACTTAAATCTACTGCTTCTGACGACCGCTCAAACTCATCATGCAGTCGTTTCTTTTTCTTTGCCGAGCCACAAACACGATAGATACCTAATATATCAATTCCCCGAAGTTCAATCTCTTGAGTACACTTGTAAATAAGACGTGGTATTTTACATGCTGTTCCCTCCCTACGTACAGCCACATCCAATGGAACACCGAACAGGCCTTTCCTATCCAACGACGGAACACGTTTCAAAGTGGCTTGACGCTCAACATATACCATGGATATGTATAATAATCCACGCGGGTCAAGTTTGACCGCGAGTTTCTGGTTCTCGTGTTTGGTTTTCTGATGAATAAAAACCTGCATGAGTCTAACCGTTGCCTTATAGGAAAGGTGCGGCTGTTGTTTTTCGTCCATAGAGTATATCATAAATGCGATTTCCTGTGCCTGCTCTAAGTCCAGCTCGAATCGTTCATCCCAATTAAATTCATCTCTACTCGTAATACTCGCAGTTTTCGCTTTGTGAAAGCAGTCAACCATCACAATGCAGTACAAATCGCGTAAATCCTTTTTCGTGCTGAGCGTAGGTGACATTTTCCGTCCTCCGTGAACATGAAGTGTTAACATGCCTGAAAAAGCTAGATTTTTGTTGCGGATTCGTAACGTTACATCACTTTTGTACTTGGAGAATTGATTTGTATCGATGTCCATGGACCGGCCACTAGAAGGCTTTCGCAGTCTTTTACCGACATCTGTGATCTTCAAACCAAACTTGTGCGATTTATCTCTAAAGACATCATCACTGGTTATTTTTTGGCTTTCCAAGTCTATAATGCCTTCTGATGACCTTCCCGGATGTACCCCTTGATGTTGACCTCCGATTTGTTCACTCATGCTACGTTCGAATTTAGGACGGTGCTTTTTGCTTCTTCCATCTAAAGGGGTCATCCCTTCAAAACTATCTGAAATTCAAGGCAAATATATTTTTTTTTAATTTCAATAAAAATGTTTATGTTTTAGTCAAATGCACTTCAGGTCGGGCATGGGCTACTTTTTTTGGCTTATTTATAGGTAACTGCCAGCAATGAGCTAATAAATATGTTTCAGTAAATCAGCTTTTACTTTTGTATAATCCTATATTTAGCATTTAATTTGAAATTAGAATGAAAAACATTTTCCTCAACAATTTTCACAGTGTATTATAATATTATTGTCATTCTTGTTCCTGTATACTATGAGTACTGTAGACCTTTAAGCTGACTTTTAAGAATTTTTAAGTCAAAATCCAATGTATACCTATCAAAAACAAAATTATTTTAGTCTAGGGGTCTTATAATGAAATACTGATCAATTATAAAAGATTATTTTAGAAAGACTAAAATTCATCTGGGCATCTAATAATAATAATGGCACAGTTTAGTTAAAAATAGTACATTTGACGGCAATCTTCAAACCTTAATACTGTACAGCATTACCTGGATAATTTATTCATACTTATTAATTATCTAACTGAACACTATACACTGGCTCTTTACTGTATTTCAATTTTTCATAACAAAAATTAATTGCAAATGTTATCTATATGCTCAAGAGAGATACCAACTAATAGTTTTTTACACTACTTCATTTCAAATACTGTAGATGTTAAACAGTATCAATAAAAAGCCATGGCTATATAAAATTATCATAATTTTATACCTTCATGATACAAAGGTCTGGCTAGACCGTTCGTGAAGGAATCTATAGAGAAGACCTGTGAGCTTGTACCATTGCTAGGCACCTGTTTGTAAAGAAGACTGACAGGTGGGCTTTGGTGTCCTGCTTAGAATGTGACCACCAATACCGACTTCTACATTCAGATTAACTTTTACAGTGTGATATACTCTTTGAATGTGTATCATACACAGCAGGAAAGCTGCAATGGGAAACCTACACATAGTAAATTTGGCTCACTAAACATCACTGGGCACACAGTATAGATCATTTCTCACAGAAATGCCTGCAGTAATTCACCATGATAATAGTATTGGACTGAACCTAAGAAAATGGTGGGATGAACTATAATAACACGATGAGACAAGGCGGGATTTTTTAAATACCTTTGTTGTTTAGTGAACAGCAGGCAGAAAAAAAAATTTTGTTGTCTTATTTCGTTTGATTTTGCTAAAAGCATCTAGACGGAGGAGGAAATAAAATTAAAATTGTGTTGATGCTTAATTGTAAACAGTGCAGTGCAGTAATTGAGCACTTTAAATTATGAATATCTTCTTTGGAGATTTCAGGGGAACAGAGGGCGTAATATAAATAGATAAAAAAAGAATTCTGAATTTTCCATTTTTCGTGACGGAGGGTGCGCTGACCAAAAATAAAATCTTCTTCAAATTATTCAAATCACCACTTTTGGTGTTCGGAGGGTTCACTATTAAACAAAGACAGTATAAAATGTCTTACCAAAACACTTCCCAGCCAATCCTGATATATTGCGGTTTTGACCCATTTACACAGCCTAGCAAATTTCAAGCAATTGGTGGTGGCATTGTTGCTATGGTTTCATATCACAATGTAATGTTATTTTAGCACATAAAGTAAACCAGATTGTACTGTATACAGTAGTCATCAATATGGTGGTTATAATTTAAAAATTTACAGTTATGCTACATCTCAGCTTTCTTCGTCCCATACCATAAATGACATCAATTCAATAATATGGTGCACTTGATGATGAATGGTGTGTGGTTTTTAAACATTATTTTGCACATTGTCTGACCTTTTGACCTTACTACAGTACACAGCATGACATTTTTAACCTACCGTTTAACAGCCAGAGATTGGTGGGTTGAACCTACAGCATGGAAAAGGCTCAATGTACAAGATGATTTTCAAATTTTAATATTTAATTTTCAAAATGCATCACTGCATCATTTATTTACTAATTCCCTATTTCATAAGCTTCTAAAACTACATAATACAGCAATAATGTTGCCTATGAAGTTGAATTAAAAGACGATGATAACTTATTCAATCGTTTTAAATGATCAATATTGAAATTTTGAAGGTACTGTATTCAAGAATGTCTAAGTTGTACACCATTTAATGGGAATTATGATGTAAATTAAAAATATTAATTAAAAAAAAAACATTTAGAGTTAGCCATTTCCACTGCACACTTTATTAACCTTTTTAATAGTTTAATTGATATTAATTTCATCTAGAGTATTAAAAATGATAATGTTTCTAATGCTTAGATCCTTGGCGAGACTATTTTATACCTTGTAACAGCCAACCCGCTGCACCCCAATAATGATGATTTCAAATAAAAATAACCTTTTATTTTTGGCTAATTAGCGCACCTGTGCCACCTCGAAAAAAAAAAAAGGAAATTTAAAAACAAATAAAAAATGTTTTAAGCCCCTGCCTTGTATACAGTATCTCCAAAAATATTATTTATTTCTTACTAATTATATAAATTTATAAAGCATTTAAACCACTACACTGTTTCACCAATTAAATTTAATTTTTATTTTCTCCTTTGTCTAGATGTTTTTGTCAAAACTACTTGCTATATAATAAAACAAAAATTTTATTTTTATTTTTTTCTGCCCTCTATTGACGATCTTTAAAAAAAAAATACGTCAGCGAAACAATAAAATAAGTATCGCCTAAATACTTTAGTAGCCTATTCTACATATTTATCGTAAAGTATAATAATAATATGCAATAAATAATTATATATACAGGGCTGAGTATAGTACATCCACGTGAATTGCCCAGGTTTTTGCCTAAATTGCAGTTTGTACTATATGGAGCACTCCACCATAGGAAAAATGTTTCGTTCATAACAAATAATCGATAAATCCAAAGTAGGTCCCCTCATTAGTGTGTCAATTTTATCAATTATTTCACAATTGTACAATGCATACTAAATCCTTAATACTAGATAATCCCTATTATTATGCTGAATAAATCCATTAACTCCTGGTTCAATCCCGGATAGTATTACAAGCTTAAAATTCAATTTCTGGATAAATTTTCGTGAATCAAATATTGGGGACCTGAATTAAAATGAATTATTTATCGTATTCTAAAGCTGAGGAAAATGGATTTAAGCTCTGGATGGAATTGAAATCCTAAAACAGGTTTATTAAAATTGAAAATTGTGAATCAACCTATTAAAAAAATTGCATGCAAACTGGGTCATTGAAAAACTTTTGTTCGGCAAAGTACAGTAACTCTAAAATTAAAGTTTAGGTCATCGAAAATTATTAGTTTATCAACTTATCTAGGCTGGAAAAGTGAAAAGGAAGGAGGCAGCTTTTTATTTATTTATTTATTATTTTTGCTATTAAAAGCCGAATATTACGTTTGGGTTGTTTGCTGGTCGGTGATGCATTGATATTCAAAGTAAAATACATGATTGAGATAATACAAACAATAGTAGTAGCCTACTACTTACTATTTAAAAAAAAAAAAAAAAATTAATGAAAACAATTTTTTTTCCAAATTCATTTATTTTTCAAAGTTTTTTTTTTCCGCAAAATGTTTCTTTTATTTTTTCAATAAATGCGGGCAAGGGTGATAAACTAATCATTTTTTTAATTGGACCTTAAATACGATGTTAAAAATGTTTTACATTGAAATGAAAAATATACAAAATCATGACATTAATTTTGCATGCAATACAGTATACTACTGTAGGTAGGGGGTCGTGAAATGACAAGTGTAAATTTCTTCCGGTTACTCATGAACCAAAAACAACTTGATTTTTCGTAGCACTCTGGCAAACTATGTCAGGTATCCAGGAATATTGTCATTTTGTCATTAAACAATTTTTGGTGCCTGCAGTACTGTAGTTTCCAGAACACATCCATCCTTCATGGTTTACTCTCGTCAAAATAATACCCAGTTGTAATTATAAATTTATTCATTGAGGTCAAAGGTTATACAATTTGATTAAAATTTAATATTGTGTGCCAATGTGTGATGTCAAAATCACTGCCAACATATTTAACATGAGTTAATAAAAAGCATCAGAGTAGAAAATTGACAAAAATGCGTTATTTAAAGCATGGCACGTCTTTAATGCATTATTTTTATTTCACGGGGGAAAAAAGACTTATTAGAAGATATGGCATGAGAAAATAAAGGACAAATTAAATTGTTTAATTTTTACAAAAATTTTAGAAATTAAACTATAAACTGGCCAAAAATTAATTTTACTTTTTTTGTTAGTTTTTTTTTAATTATTATTGGCAGGTGTTAGGTTTGCAAGAGTTATTATAATCGGCTGCAAACGTACTGTTTGTGGTAAAATAATCCAAATAAATAGCCGGCCTTACCTGCATTTTCTGAGGCTATGTTTGCAGCCTCTCGTCGTGTTTCAAGTTCACTATCAAAACTCTGACTTGCACCTGTCAGTATTGCTGATACCGGCCTAATCGTGGTACGGCCGCTCTTTGGTGCTTCAACAGGTAACATTGCTGACCGGGGCCTAGTCTTTGACCCTACATCTTTCTCATTTCCTGGAAAGATGTAAGGATCACAAGACTGGATAAATGACGTTTCATACGAACTAGTCGAGCGGGTTTGATAGGAGTTTTCACTAGCGTTACTCTTGTTGTCTTCCTCGGAACTTGCAGCTCGACTCAATTGCAACTTGTATTGGAGTTCATGATTGAGTAACGATGCTCTAGAATGGTTCCCATGGTCATACATAGGACAGCTATGGTTAGTGTGATCGCTCTCTGCATCTTTCATCTGCTTCACAACTTCACAATGATTGATAGAATCTGAACCGTATCGGCCACTGCCGGGACGAGACCTCGATAAGTCCTGGAACTTGCTCTTACCAATCTGTTTCGTCTTCACTGTTATTAACAGTCTTTTAGGAATTTGTAAAATTACATGAACTTCATCCAGAGTTTTTCCAGTAACGCGTATACTATTCACGTACAGGACTTCATCTCCAACACGTAATAAACCACTTTCCTCAACTTTTCCACCGAGGACCAGCCGGGTGATGAATATTCCATTCTTATGGTCTACCCCATTACCTTCTCGTATATAAAATCCCAATTTCTCACCAGAAACTTTATGAATTTCAACTGTTCTCAGTAAGTAGGCTCCACCCATGATCTCACGTTCTTGGACACTGTTCATTTTCATCCTCTTCGACGAGCCGAGAATCGACTGGACGTTACCATCAACAGAGTCCCTGCTGCTGAATTGGGATGGACTTCTAGGCCTAGCCAGCTCATTATCAATTACTTGTATCGCATGCACCGTTTCAGGGTTAATTCCTTGAACATGTTTTACGTTTGTGACTTGGCCTATTCTAATGTTAGCACCAGAAGATGTCCTTTCATACATTCCTGGGCTGGATCCATCGTTAAATTGGTCGTAGTTTGAATCGCTGCAGTGAGAAGTTGAATGCCTACGCATTGTTGATTTTAAAACAGACAACAGCGGTCCATCTTCATCTCGCGAATGCCGATTCCTTCGTTGAAGTTTCTCAGACATCGTGTTAACGTTTTATCATTTACCTTGGCATTAGATTAATTTACTTGATTGCTGATTCCAATGCAATCATAGATATTAGACAGGGTTCCATTATACACACTCAAATCAAACAACAACGACCAAACTCAGTACGTACAGTACGGTAGTACGCCTGTGTTGTGTGCCCACTGAATCAATACGGAAAAAAGTCAAGGTTCACTCTATCTAGCCCAACCAGCCAATGACAACAACGAAAATGATCACAAAAACAATCTCTCGATTATGCTATTTTTTATTCATGCTAAGGATTTCTATTTTGTGTTTATTCTCCCGTTTATTCTGTACTCGTTGTATTTATGTTAAAGCATATTCATTTTTTTTTGCTTATTTATTTTCATTTAACGGATTAGCTCAATATCCGACACTTTCGTAGAGGAAGGCCTTGAAGTATTTTTTATGACAGATACAATTGTGTTAGGCATCAACCAAAATTAATAATCGCTAAATATATGGGCCTATTATAATAAACGAATAAATATATCATAGATATGTATTATGTAAATCATAAAATATAATTAATCGTTATTAATATTTTTTAATATTCAAGGATAAAAACACTATAAATTATTGAAAAGGCAAACATATGTTCATTGTGGTTCAAAATATTAATTAAATAATCAATACAACTCATAAAAAACAGTAAGTCAAACATTAGCCTAATACAATGAATTTAATGACAAAACAAATGTAATTATTTATTTATTTTTAACATGTCATTGTAATTTTCTTTACTATTTATTATTATTATTATTATTATTATAACGGTATTATTATTATTAGTTGATTGATTGATTATTATTATTATTATTATTATTATTATTATTATTATTATTATTATTATATTATGGTATTATTATTATTACCATCATCATAATTATTATTCTCAATTATAAATATTATAAAATAAATCAAAGACGACGAGTCAAGAGACAAGTTTATCGATGGAATTAATCAAAACTTATTTATTATCTGATCGGTAAGTACATTAACCTAATACTCTATAATAAACTTGAATAACCAGATTTTAACAATATCTTTTATTAATCACAATTTTTTTTTTACTAATGGACCTCCGTGTTAAAAATTCCTGCCAGTATCGTATTTATTTTTAATAAGGCATTATTGAGCGTGCAGGTCTGCGAATTTGAATTATTTGGGTTGAGGTTTTCTCGTGAGTCTCCTCTCGTTGAGTTTGACCTTCAGTTGTCACATTACGCGGATTGCCCAGGTTCCAGTTCTTTATTGTTGTTAGGTTTGGTAAAGTTGTAAAATTAACTTATTTGGGCAACATTTTTCATTAAGATGCTGGACGATGAAAATAATTACTTGAGAGTGGACTAGAAAACGAAAACTTTATACTGTACTTTCCATAGAGTAATTTATACAGTACCACCGACCTGGACCGAACAATTATTTTCTCCCCGTTAATCATCTCTTTCTTAGATTATTTTGTATCATTCCCCTAAATTTTATGATGATCCATTTTTTTTTCATTTCTTATTTTCTCTCATAAAATAAGCTTAAACAAAACAAAAATGACAATTGAATGGTGCCGATAAGGGCCAAAATAGGCCTAGTAAACTGAATTACTGTCGAATTAGTCTCCCCTCAACACTGTTTCAAACAAAAAGCATTCAACAAATTTACACAAAAGTTAGATAATATATTACTAAATTCAACTCTTTTATTAAAATTTACTTTTAAAATGTTAATTTATCACACCAGAATAAAATATAGGCCTATTACAAATACATACCAATTAATCTTCAGGAGTCAGACCTCGTAAATAAGATTTAAATTAAGAAACAAATTTAAATTAATTGGCAGAATATCCAGAAATTCAGAAGGGATAGTATCCCAAAATCTTGGAAAATTTTTAATTCGGTATTATAAAAACAATCGAGAAAGAGAGTAGGCCTAAACAAACTGGTCTATGTGCGGCGAGTATTAATAATATGAAAAAAAAATAGTAACTGAATAATAACTAAATAAACATTTACATTTAGGGCAAAGCTAAATATTGAATTTTTTTTTTTAACTGAAAGCAGATTAAAATGCGAATCTTGCTAATAGACAGACTTAACAGAGACAGACAGACAGGAGTGAACACAACCATCTTTGCCGAGGTACTGTAATAAGCACGGAAGCCTCCATATATGGGCGCGAATTCATTTTTGTTGATATGTGCCCTCTAGAGTACAAGAACTTTGTGGTCTTCTGGTCCAGGTATTGCGTCATGCTGGATTAAACTTTTATGATTTTACTTTCAATGTCAATAAATCCCATTTGAAAATAGTAGACGAGGACGTGCATGATTTTGTAGTTACTTTTACAAAGCAAAGAGTTATGTTTCCTACAGTGTATGACGAGTTTTATTTAATCACCTGTATGTGCAATTTAATAATGTTATAATTAATTATTCTGAATTTGAATGTTATTTATTGTTTTCTATTTTTTTATAATCAGTTTTTTAGTGCATGTCCAATTTTTTTTCTTATATAATATCCTTATGTATTATGTATTGAATTGAAAGTAGGCCTATGTCTCTGGATGTACCCAGTTTTCTTATGGTCCCGAGTTGCAGCAGTCGCTTTCATGTGGTCGTACCAACTATTGTGATGTTCTCATCTCCACTGAATTCTAATAGAGAAATACTGGCAGCACTACTTCAATTTAAAACTGCTGCCGATTTGGCCCACATTGAATTTCAGAAAATAAATGTATAACAATGAGCATATGTCTAAAGTATTAGTCAACATCGATATTTTCAAAGGGCATGGTCTATTTTAAAATAAAATTGTTTGTTACTTCATTTTGAATAAACTGCACTCCAAAATTGACCACGATCATGAGTAATAATACGTACTGTACCTCCAAGCCACGTTGTTGTCATTGCATTGTATCTTGTCAGCTTTTGCAGTACTAGACAGTTAGAGTTTACCAAATGTGAATCCCGAAAAATACAAGCCTAATTCAGTATAAGCTCCACCTCATACGCCCGCAAAGTTAGGATAAAGCAGGGGTAGCGCCAGGATTTGCCCGACGCTGGGGGTCCAATTTCTCCAAAGAGAGCGGCGTAAAATGGCGTGCTTCGGCGTCAAAATCTCTCTCAAGTGATCCAGGGGGAAAATATGACAATTTCGGCATTTCAAAGAGTTACTTAATTGCTTGTAGAGTCTAATTAATCAGGTAAAATTAATTATATACGATTTTTTCTCCACAACCCGTGCGCCAGCTCTCCTGAAGGGTGCCCCACGCCCACCCCTACCCCAACCACCACTGGCGCTATCCCTGGGCCAAAGTGGAGCATTTTTGAAGGCTATAGTTGCTTGATATGATAATTTTTGTTTGAGAACTCTTTCATTTATATATTCATACAATGTTCTAGCTAGATGTCTTGTTAGTCTAAATTATAAATCTGCCGGGCCGCCACAGCTCTGCTAAATGAGGGCGTTTATCAGTTTAAGGGGGTGATCGGGCAGTGTTATACCAAAAGTATTTGGAGTGCACAGAATAAGAAGAGGAAAAAGATAATTGTACACAATTTCTAGTCATCTTTAATACAAAAATACCGTTTCAATGTTTCATGCTAAGTTAAAAAAAATGACCACGTCAAATTTAAAGAAAGACACCTGATTTTACACCTTGTATATAATATGTTTATAAAAGCCCATAAAAATAAAATGATTGATACTAAGATATTAATCATATTCATTTTCTTGAAGATGAAGTAATATGGTTTAAGTCACTAATTAAACTTAAATACGCTTAACTTCAATGAGTAAATACTAGTAATAAGGTTATTTTAGGTGTAAATGGATAAAGAAACGAATGCAACAAGCTTCTGCCGGTGTGCAAAGATTTCTGTCTCCGTGGATACAGTCCCTTGTCTACTGAATTCCTGTTTCCACTCCAGGGCTCCTGGGGTCAATGAGTCCAACAATCTTCAACATCTCGTTCCAGTTGTTTTTTTTTTGTTTTTTTTTCAATCACGAGAAGATTTTTAATTGTGAGGCCACAATATATAAACTGGGTCTAATGTCCAATACGTATGCCTATATAAATGGAAAAAGCTCTAGGAA